CAAAGAGCACTTCCACAACGGATAACCCTCGTAGTAGTGAAACCTGCCTAGAGATGGAAAACTATCAGTTATACAGGGTGGTTCGAAATAACATAGAAATAATATCTCAACCGCAGATTCTAGGAACAAAAATAGTGAGAAAAGTTTATACAGGGTGTCCCAAAATTAGCCTGTCAAACTTCACCAGTGGCTCATTGTACGATCAAAAATGGGTGGCGGAAATTTGATCGAAAGACAAATGATAGAAAAACATTTGATAGAAGTCTTTTGATCGATAGTGTTTTTGATAGAAATGCATTTGACCGAATGTTTCATGATAGAAAATACATTTGATAGAAACATAAATGATAGAGAATACAATTGATAGGAAAAATATTTGATAGAAAATACACTTGATGGAAAATTTAGGCCGAGTTTGATAACCCATCATTTATAGTAATATGAGTTTACGATACGAATATAGAACAATATTTAACCTACTACCAAGAAGCTGATTATTAAATCAAAAATATTCAATATTCCTTGAACGAATCGATTTGGCTGAACATTGGTGGGGAGGTAGCTTTTAGAGCCAGGAGGAGGTTAAAGGATACTTTTTATTCCGGTACCCTCATATCAAGATCGCGGATCTAATATATCGGACGAGTTTTGTAATTATGGTCCGATTTTCTATTCAAAATATATGATGGCGGACGAGTTTTGTAATTATAATCCGATTCTCTACAGAATTGGTACCTAGGGATTTTCGTGCTCGGGGATTATGATTCCTTCGTCAAAATTGAGGAAGATGGCGGATCCAAAATGGTGGTTTTTGTAACTAGGATACGATTTCATTGAAATTTGGTAACTGGTTGGTTCTCGGGGTAGGAGATTATGATGCTCCCGTCAATATTAGGGAATTCAAGATGGCGGACTCAATATGGCGGTCAAGTATTGTAATTATGATCCGATTCTATTCAAAATTTTCATCTGGAGTTTCAGGAGTCGGATATTATGATTCTTTCGTCTGAATTGGGAAATTCAAGTGAACTCAAAAGAAGTTAAAGTAATTGGTAGTTTGAAAAACTAGAGAAACACGGTTTTATAGATAGCGAAACTAAAAAGAAATAGAAAATTAAATGATAATAATGTCTTGATGAATATTTAATTGGAAAAATATATTATAGAAATAATGTATGTAGGAAAACAACGTTTGCGAGGTCTGCTAGTCTTTGAATAACTATCGAAACTATCCCTATAATAACACACGATATCCAGACGACATCCATTTTCCATTTGCCGTCCAAGACATCCATGGACGCCAAATGGAACTATCGTTTGATGTACATTGTTGTATATCCAGCTGATGATCTAGTATGTACTCCATCTGGAAGCCTATCTATGTCCATGGACGCACATCGAATAGCCACTTGGATGTCCATACCGGGATACTTGGCAGTACATATTGGACATCCATAAGTGTATTGTCGGGATGCCCATTGTAGCGAGAAATTTTGAGAAGAGTGAAATGAGAAGAAGAACGATCTGAATTCATCTGTCAGAATTCGAAACATAATATAGGTTATGTTTATTTCATCCATCCATTTTGGTGGACTTTCATGATAATTACTAGTATTTTATAGTTGAATTCTGCCCCAGTTTCCTGCTTTAAACGGCCGTCATACAAGTAAGTTCTTATTATTTCTGTGTCTATTCAGGTGTTCTTAATTGCGAATTGTTACGATAACATAACATATTTCTTGGATAGGTAGGTAAAACACCCTTCACCAGAATGAACAGAAGGAAAAGGATTTGAAACAGGTTCTTCCGACGTATCTACTATGAAGTAGAAAAAAATTCATCGGATGTTGACAAACTCTTGAATGAATACGACAACAGATGATGTGTGGGCAAGAATCACTGACAATTTCGCAGTTTGAGGAATTTTCATCTTGGGGCCAATTATCTTGCTCATCGACCTGAACTGACGATAAAAATTTATGAAACACCTTTTTCACTACATGTGGCTCTTGCATGGTGAGGCTTCACCACATTACACTCTGAATGTCCATTGCTGTTTCATTCAACAGTTTTCAGATAATAAGTATAGATGAAACGGCAGAGAAAATATACTATAGTTTATGGGGAGCAGTACCTATAAATTTTGAGGTGTACTTCAGACCAGTAAATAATGAACAGGAATTATGGAGACAGATTCAGAATGCAGTGAATATTTTCAAAAACAATGCAGAAACAATGCAAAATATGCATTTCAGTTTTTGTGCTGCCAGTGCATTGGACCACTTCTTTTCCAATTTACCATCCTAAGTAGGTACTATCTATTTTTTTATCATATTATATACTTTACGTTTCACCCATGAACAATGTTTGAAATAAAAGAAAATAACATAACCTGTCTTTTGAATACGTATAGGTTGGTATATATGACCAATATATGGACACCATATGAATGTCCATAATGGACACCAAATGGATGTCCATAATGGACACCAAATGGATGTCCATCATGGATAACGTATGTATGTCCCAAAATGTGGAAAGCTGATTTCCTATGGACATCCATAGGATGTCCTGTGTACACAAAGTGGTTATCCTATGGATGTCCAGGGTGTCCGGGTGAGGATATCCATTGGATGTCCAATGGATGAAGGTGTGTTATTAGGATATCGGCATTCAATACTATCGATAATTGGCCACTTCTAAACTTACCCTTCATGCACACGACTGGAACGTCTGCAAGGTAGCCGAAGACCAGAGCGCCAGCGTGTCCCTTGACGGTACTCCTCGGGAAGTGGGGGATGCGCTCGTAGGGCACTTCGATTTTGTCTCGCAGGGCGTCTGCCAGGGATCCTGGAATATTTACAGGTCTTTCAAATCAAATCGGCAATTTTTTCTTATTCACGAATACTTGTTTGGCAAAACTATGACCAGACTCCGAATAGAATTACATGATGATATAGTCTTTTCATGCACTTCAGGGATTTAAAAGGGATATTTAAAGTGAATTTCTTTGTAATAGAAGCTCATCACAACTCCTAATACATTGACTGCAATCTCTCATGGGGAGAACAAATAAATTTCGTTTGTAAGAAATTGAAAAAAAAAGCTGAAGAACACGCTGAAAATTGACCCACTCCACCAAATATACTATACGCATTCGTATATTCCGCCATTTCTTATAATATTATAGCGTGAGGCCAAGCATCTGAGATCACTAGAGTGTTTGTTGCTCAAAAGCGTATACTCCGACTAATATTTGACATAAAAAATCGCAACTCTTGTAGGGATATTTTCAAAGAATATCAAATCCTAACATGTATCAATTTACATTTTCAAACTTCTTTGTTATATATTCAAAAATGAGAATTTGAACTCTCTAAACAGTGACAACCACTCCCATAACACTAGATGTAAAAACCACATCAAATTAAGTAAACACAAACATTCTTTCTATAAAAAGTCACCGAATAATGCTGGTTGCATGCCGCTTTTACAATCGTCTGCCAGACAATATAAAAAGCGGATTAACCAGCACTTTTCAAATCTCGCCTAGAAGATTTCTTATTCACACAATGTTTTTTTCACTCGCTGAATTCGAGACATATTTAGCAGTACTGTAACTTGCATCAGGAGTGATGATAATATTGTATTTGCATGTACAGGGTGGCCAACTAAGACTCCAGAGTTCGATTTCTCTGTTGTCTTGAGAGATACAAAAAAAGTCATGTATCATAATTGAAGTAATAACCGAGCTGCACATGTCGAAATTATTTTGGAATATACAGGGTGTTCAGCATATCAAATTTATATTTGTTTCATATGAACACCCTATATTTTATTTCATTTTTGAATTCTCCCTGAAGACCTGATTTCATACTCAGGGTCTAGCAGTGAAAGTTACTGACATATAGGGTGTGCAAAATCGAGATTTTCCAAGTTCAGGATTTTTTTCTGTCGAAACTGTTCATTATTCGTCAAAACGGTCTGGATGTCCCTATTTCAACTTTACACTCACTATCAATTGGTGATCAATTGAAATTGATACAAAAGGTGGTAAAAAAATCTGAATTCATAATTTGTTTTAATTAAATGTCAATTGAACAACAATTGATAGTGAGTGAAAAGTTGAGATAGGGACATGTAAACCGTTTTGACGAATAATGAACAGTTTCGACAGAAAAAAATCCTGAACTTTTAAAATCTCGATTTTGCCCACCCTATGTAACTTTCACTGCTAGACCCTAAGTATGATGGATCGTTGAAATCAGATCTTCAGGGAGAATTCAAAAAAGGAATAGAATATAGGGTGCTCCAATGAAAAAAACATAGCTTTGATGTGCTTACGGAACACCCTGTGTATTTCAAATAAATTTTGAAATCTGGAGCTCGGTTATCACTTTAATTTGAATGCGAAACATTTTTTTGTATCTCTGAAGACAACAGAGGTATCGAACTCTGGATTATTAGTTGGCAACCCTGTATATATATGTGTCTTTATGTATTTAAACTTGGATTGGTACTTTTGTATCTCTTTCATTACTTGTAATGACATGTACCATCTTGTTTTTGTACTAGCTTATGGGATCAATGAACATTTATTTATTTATTTATTCATCTATAAAATATCTCGAAGACTGGAACCTTTGGCACGATAATACACTACACTGTTATTGTATCACTAACCAAACCGATTTTTTGAACGCCTCGACACGTGTTTCGCTAACTATGTTAGGGTGACTTTATAAAAACTTTTAGCATCTAAGATTTAACATTTGAACATTTAAGACTTAAGAGTCTCAAGTAGAGAAATCTAGTTTCTGATACTGAACCAGATTTTCGAAGTTTAGTAAGTTAGAAACTGGTTGGAAATCAAAATTTCATGTTCTGATATCATTCTATTAATTTATATTTATATCCCTGAAATGATATAAACATCCATTATATCTCCACATTATTTTGACAGTAATCACTATTCCTTGTCTAACAGAAACTGGCTCACTCCTTGGATCTTTTGCCAAATATGGAGGCAACAGAGCGACATCATAGTGTATTTTTGGAGAATGGTTCAGTATCAATCAGAAGAAAAACAAATATTCAGGAATTATAACACGAGATATTTTGAATTTTTATTGAATGGCGGGAAATTGAGATGCCAATTTTGGATGCGCACTCCATATTCCATTTATGATCATTCATCGGCACATCTTAAGTTGAAAGTTGGTCATCTTCTTAAATCTTAAATGTTAAATCATAAGTCTTAAATGGTTTCATAACATAACCAATGATATTTCCATGTTCCATCTGTCATAAGTGATAAGCCTTAAATGTTAGTTGATAAATCTTTAGTCTTAAAGTTTCTTATAAAGTGGCCCTTAATCTCGGCTCTGCTAATATATCGCATTATTTCAGTGAACCCGGGATAATCATAACATATGTCATTATTATTGACTAGTGGTTTATAAAATGACGAAAACTACCTTGGTAGTGAAAATAATGGTAGGTTCTACAGCAAGTGGTGGAAAAACTAATCTATCTAGTCTTTGGTAGAAGTCCCTATTGCTCAAAGTGGAGTGAAATTTTTCAAAGGAAGGAAGGTCGAAATCGTCTCCACAAATTTCACCATTTCCCGGTAACGTTATTTGAGTTGAATTCAAATGCCATTTGATATCTAACCTATATGCTCTGAGATAAAGTCGATCAAAATAGATGGTTCCATAATAAAAATATCAGTTGCCACCTGAGAAAAAATGTGTTACATTCTTGTCAATATTGTATATAATAATGAAGATGATAAAAAGCCCTGATTTCTAGGCAAATAAAAAAACTCCACCGCCCCTCAGAGTCGAACTCACAACCTCTGGGTTACATGCCCAACGCTCTGCCAATTGAGCTAAGGGGACATCCGTCGATCAATCGGCAGGAAGGTCGAGTTATCATCATACACTTAATTTTGTATAGGTATCGCTAAACTTCAGAGTTGGGAACCCAGCGAGCACAAAAACATCTCAGAGATGTTGAAAGTACGAGATTTCGAGACATTGAACCTCCACTGCGATGTTCTGTTCACACATGAATAGAACTATTATAGAACAGCCAATGTCCGCCGCAGGCGGCAATTATCGAGATGTCCTTGATATGTCACAAAACTACCTTCTCCCTAGTCCTTTTTCAAGCCTTTTCATGGACACAACAGAACATTTTCAACGCGTCTTGCGCACATTAAATCGCTGCAACAAAACCATTTTCGAGGTACTTTTCTGAAGCCTTTTGTCAAAATGAACTTTTGCATTAGGATTTCATTTCCCTTGAATGAAAAAATGCATTCAAAATAGATTGAACATAAAAATATTTTCTTGATATGAAATTACCTTCTTAATCGGTTTCTGAGTAGTGCTTACTACACACAGACATATAATAATTAGAAATAGGTTTCCCAATTTTTGAAATGTTCTCCACAATGCATAATTTTGCAACTGCGGAGAAACTGTGTATTGATGAATTCGTACTTTTATATATTGATTACACTGAGGCACCGAACAACACATCTTGCATCTGATGGTCATTTTTACAAACTAAATGAGTCTTCTAACACAATAAACTTCACCAAATTCCTTTCTATTCGTTAGCAGCGTGATGTACCTAAGCGTGACACGCTGCAAACGCGAATGCCAATTGCGAACAAGAAGAACAAAATCGAATACAAATCAGAATTCATCGTATTGTGACGTAAGCATGAGACGTTGTGGTGGGGCAAACAAAGAAAGGGCACAAAAGAACAAAAACAATACTTTCAATATCCTTCTAAGACCTCTTTGGGAAGTGCATATTACGCCTCAAAAAAACATCCTCATGCCTACATTTCTAAAACATCCCAAAACATTCCAGGGATACCTCTCAGTAGGCAAACAAAGAAATGCCACAGAAGAACAAAAACAATACTTCAATATCCTTCAAAGACCTCTTTGGTCAGTGCTTATATTACGTCTCAAAATAACATCTTCATGCCAACAATTGCAAAACATCCCAAAACATCCCAGGGATGTTTGTGCTCGCTGGGAACCAACTCCCCAGAAGTCGAAACTTGTGCGAGGTTAGGAAGAGCGGGACCTCCATGGCTTATCGTGGATTCTGAACCACTCTTGATAAGGCGCCGAGGTTTCGACAGGATTACAACCGAGAATCACTTATTTTCAAGAAAAACAAGCACCCCAGAATCGTAAACTGCTATCTAGCGAATTCGAGCGCCTTGGTAAGTTTGGCTACCGTGCCCATAATTTTCAAAACATATTTCCTCTGATGTAATATTTATCATTGTTTTCCAACACTTTTTATGGTGCAATATTTTCATAATATTTGTCGAATTTATATTTAATCTTTCCAAAATTTCATCATTGTTTTTCTTCAACTGATTCATAATGTAAATGTTTACTAACACGTGAACCGAATTTGAGATAAAGATTTGGCATTCTTATAGCTCGACTTTCTCATCAATCCTCACCATTTTGCCAATTAGTATAGAATAGTATATTGTGTAATTAGGAGCATAAGTGTCACAAAGCAAAATTTTGAGAGTCAATCAAAGTCATTGAAACAGGAACATCACATATATATCATGACTTTTTTTCGTTAGACAAACGGTTTTCGATTGGAAAAATAAAATAGGTTTACATGGGGCGCCCATATCTAAAATAAATTTGAACCGGTATGTAAACCTATTTTATTTTTTCAATCAAAAACCGTTTGTCTGACGAAAAAAAGTCAAGAGGTCTTTTTTGTTAGCAACTAATGAGAGATAACAAAACTGATTTACATTTTGATAAAAACAGTGGCGTGCCATTTTTAAATGTAATAAAATTATATTTTAGTCAATATCAACGGTTCAAAAAAAGGTAGATGATGAATTATTCTCATTGAATCATAGAGAAATGCATCCTCTTTTGAAATATATGAAGATTAATATACCATTACATTTGTTTTTCTTGAAATAAACTAAAGAATTTGCTAACATTTCAGTTAACGCCATCTAGCGGCGACAGCAAAAGTCAAAAATTCAAAACCAAATAAGCGTTTTGTAGGGCAAACTATGTTCTTTCATATGAGCCTAAGTTTTCTAAAATCGGTCGAAAGAAACGGGAGAAATCTTGGTTTGTTTAAAAAAACAATTGAACTTCCCCCACCGCTTCATTTTGATAGATAGAACAAAACGTTCTAGACAAAAAATGTAGGGAAATGGTCAGTAAATATGAAAATGATATCATCGATATACTTTCATTGAACAAAATTCTATAAAAATCCCATTTTTCTACTTGGTTGGTTGTTACGCCCTCTACCGGACGTTTGACAAGCTCGAAAATAATTTCCAGCAATTTCTCTTGGCAACTTTTATCATGATTTTTTTTTCTCAAATCATTACGACCAATATCTTATGAGATATGGCCGCTCGCTACCCTTAACTGATCACCCTGTACATAATATTATTCTGAATATTCAACAGAAAACAACTACTTTCCTGGCTAGTTGAAGTTATTGTGAGATTCGATGAATGAAAACATATTTCTGAAGATGAAACATAGTTTTCTCAATTCCATAGAGGAAATTATGGAGTTTAATAATACGAACATAAAGTTTGTTGGCTCTTCTCGAAATGATTTTGACATTTTTAAAATCTGAATCCACATTAATAGGGATTTGTTTTTTTATGCACGATGATGCATTTTGATGATATTTCGTAGAGCAGGAAGTATAAGTCAGCGAATTCGCCTCAGAAATGTAGATTTGACTGAAATGAACAGATACTATTGAGGATATTCATACAAGGTACAGGGTGATTAACCATAAATGTCCCCCCCTCTAGCGCACTCATTCTTGAACCGATTTAAAAATTTGAAATATAATCTGAAATGATTTTTCAGATTTTTTTCCGTTGCATCAGAAAATACAAGGTGCTCGGAACAAATGATCTACAGAGTACTTCTTGATTCTTTCATATGAAACACCCTGAATTCCATAGATTCTTCCTGAAGAGCTGATTTCATCAATGTATCACACTTTGGGTCTAGCGGAAATGATTACAGAGATATAGGGTGTTCAAAATCGAGATTTTTCAAGTTTAGGATTTTTTGTCTCGAAACTATTCATTATTGGTCGAAACGGCTCCTATGTTTCCATCTTAGCTTCTGATTTACTGTCTACTGACATTTAATTGGAAAATTTACAGGGTATGGTTCATGATTCAGAATCCTGATCGACCTGTATCTGTTCCAATTATTAAATTTCAGTAGATAGTAAATCAGAAGTTGAGATATGGACATGAAAGCCGTTTTGACCGATGCTGTATAGTTTCGCCTCAAAAAAATTCTTAAGTTGAAAAATCTCGATTTTGAACACCCTTTACCTCTGTAATCATTCCCGCCAGACCCCAAGTGTGATACATTGAACAAATCAGCTTTTGAGGAAGAATCTAAAAATACAACGAAAAATAGGGTGTTTCATATAAAAAAAATGAAATACTACCCTGTTGATTGTTCGTTCCGAGCACCCTGTATTTTCTGATGTAGCGGAAAAAAACTTTATCAAAAATCATACAAGTTGATATTTCAAATTTTGAAATCGGTTAAAAAATACCCGAGCTAGAGTAGGGGACATTTATGGTGGATCACCCTGTACCGTGTAACAAAAATATGGTCACAATGAAAACAGATATGAACTCATTTCGTTGTACGGGAATGTTTTCCGAATGTGGTTTGGATAGTTTAGGTTGATTAGGTTGGGTCAGGATGACTTGGTTAGGTTCGGTCATTCGGTTGTAGATTGGCCCAGAGCCAACTGTAATAACCGAATAGAAATTTTTGAAATCATCCTATATTTTGGACCACAACGTATATTTTGTTGATCAGTTTAGGTGTCGGCTTCATTCTGTTCTCACCCTGATGACAGTAACCCTAACAACACAGGAATGTCCTAGGTACGTCCCTTTTTTGTCTCGCGGTAGAAGGACATGATTGGGGCATCCAGGTGATGTCCCGCAGTGGTTGTTCAGTGAACAGTGGAATATCTGATATCCATTCACATCAGAGTCATTGAATTTCGTGAAAATATTGAGTTGAATTCATTTGAAAATGTTTGTTTTTCTTCCGGAAAATAATTGTGATGAAAATAAAGAATATAGTCTCTGACCATTTTTCGCAAACAGAAATCGTGAATGCATAATGCCCCCTCATTTTTGAACACCCAAGAATGATAATAATTATACATGAAATCCTAACAAAGTTGTATTCAATCAGGTTTCAGTTTTGTACTTTTCATGAATATGTTTAGTACATAAATCTTCAGAAGGCATATTAGCCAATGGAGTAAGGTGCGTGCCTGATAAGTTAAAGGTCTCCGGTTCAATCCCTACTCGACCTAAATTTTCCTTTCTTTTGTCGAAGGGATGTCCCTGGAATATCCTTGAAACGTCCTAGGAATATCCTTTCGTCGTACTTGGTACATCCCAGGGACGTACCAGAAGGACATCCCTTGGATGTCCTTTTTGTCGGGAAATGGATGTTCCTGGGACGTCCATTGTATGTACTTTGTCCCGACAAAGGATATCCCAGGGATGTCCTGGTACAAGATAAGGGACGTCCCTGGGAAGTCCTTAGGATCTCTGAGTATCCACACTTGTGTTGTTAGGGAAATGAGGAATACTGAGAGTACCAAGCATTTTGAATGTAGCCGATAGTGATTCATTGATTCATTGTTATTCTGTTTAGGACTGCCGATTCCTATTCGAGAAATTTCAATGTAGAAGTAAAAAAACTAATACATTCATAACTTGTCAGAATGAAGCCAACTATACCATCTACATTTATACTCCGAGACGCCGATTGAAAACGAACTTGTTATCGACACTAGTATGACATTTGACATTTGGCATGGAAAATAAATTTCTTTTGTTGAAAAACAAGGATTAAAATCGTTTCAGTATCGTTAAAAGGCTTGCCCGTTAACGTTAAATCTTTCATGAAATCCATATTTTCGATTTGAATGAAGATTCCGTAAGTTACAGTGCCAAAAGTGAATGGAACTGTTGTATGTTTGGTTGCCTATACTACAATCATGCATCAAGGCAGATTGATCAATAATAGGGGTCATTAACGATCAATTCCATATACATATCAAACCTACTTCAGTTTATACGAGGTCGACGGAAAAGTGCATTTTTTTATAAACTCAAAAAATAATGATGTGTTCTTACCCATGCCAGATCCACAGATGATTCCGATTTCGGGTTTGAAAGGTACCAGCCTCTTGAGGAAATCGGCTGTTTGAACCAGCGATTCATAAGTGCTCCTGGAAAAACATTTTGATTATTTCTTGAAATATCTCTTTGAGCACACGAAAAGAAATTCATATGATATTCGAGGAATATCGTGCGTACCTATGGAGGTAGATGATGGATTTTTTTTTAATTTCACGCACGTCCCAGGCAGCAGTGGATATTCCTAGAATATTCTCTAAATATACTTGAAAGGGAGGAATATATTCCAATTGTCCAACGAATATTCCTGGAATATATACGTACATGCCCAGTGATTTTCGAAACTGGAATATTCTAGCGGGAATATTCTCAGCATATTCTGTTTTGATGGTTCAAGGAATATCCAGATATGAATGGTTTGGGAATATTCCCAACTGAATATTCTGTGTTGTATATTCTATGACCCACTAAGCCAAGTTGAAAGTTATGTTGGTGCAATGTTGAAGCAATTACCCAAACGGACGTTCAGCAATATTGTAAAGGTAGAGCAGTGTGCAAATAAAACGTTGCAGCAATATTAAATCTTGCTGAGACCTTGCTGGAACGTTACTTTTACAAATTCACATTCGCAATATTGTTGAGCCTCCGTTTCAGTAATTGCTACAACATTGCATCAACGAAGCTTCCAAATTTGCTCAGTGGGGAAATATTCACCAACTGAATATTCTTTGTAATATATATATATCAGTGAGATATTTCATGAATATCTCCATGTTTTCAATGGAAGGATATAGCATGAACACTGATGATTATTCTACAGATGTGATAATCGAACATTTATTATATTTTGTAACAAAAAGTGTTTTATAATTCGATTCTGAACAACGCTTCCCAAGATATTGTTATGTATAATATCATTCAATACGATTACTGGTCTGGTGGTCGAGACGTTGCTCTTACAGTCTTGAAGTCACGGGTTTGAGTCCATCTTGGGTAACTTTTTTTTATTTTGAAATATGTTTATTGGAATATCCCAGGAACATCCAAGTAGTATTCCTAGAATGTATTCTAGAGATCCATGGAATATTTTTTTGAACATATTCCATGAATATCTGAAAAATTCCCATCCAGATATCCAGGAAATATTCCACAAATATTCTTGAATATTCCAGATACTTCCTAGAATATTCCAACCCTAATAACACAATTATATCCGATGGATATCCTTAGGACATGTCCAGTCGGGACATTCAGGACGTTCACAGGACGTTTGAATTTGGTACCGTGGACGTCCATTGGACGTCTATGAAACGCACAAATGTCCCACTTGAGGAGCAACTAGGGATGTCCTTGAGGGATATCCCTGGGACAACTATCGAATACCTAAATCCTACAGTATTCCTTATCGAGCACTACGGAGGATATCCTTAGAACATCCGTAGGACAACCTATCAGCAATGCTGAAGAATATCAATTGGATGTCCATAGGATGTTCCAGGGACATTTGAATTATTTTTGAATTTGAATTTTTCTGGGTCCCTCTAGGAGCAGATCTTGCACAACTGATGAGGACATACAGTTGAGTTGATGGTCCATAGAAGATCCCCAATAGATCCTTAAAAATGTTTCCCAGGGATGTCCAATGGACTTACGTGGAGGACATTGACGGGGAGTTTTTATAGCCAACGAGCAATCATTCGTCGGCGAGGTGTAAGTTAACGTCTTCGCAGGGACAACAACATATTGAAAATACTGACTGGGACGTCCATAGGACGTTATTTCTAGGACATTTGGGAGTACCAGTTTATGTACCAATTGGGACTTCCGACGGATATCTTTAAGTGACATTCGAAGGATGTTCTTGAGGGATATTTCGATTGTTATATGATCCTGTGGAAATATTGAGGGCGTCTGTGTAGAGATATTTGAAGGAATGTATCATCAGGGGCATGTAATGGTTGTCAAGAAGGATTATTATATAAGATCTGAAGTCATGCCAGAATATGTACTACTCGAGACATCCGATGGATGTCTGTAAAGGAACGTTTAAATTCATATCCCATCAGGGACATGCCAAGGACGTCCTTGCATGGACATTCTACAATATGTACCACGTGGGACGTCTAAGGGATGCTATTTCTAGGACATTTAAAATGATGTACCAGCTGGGACATTCCGTGGACGTCCTTGCTCGGATATTGCATGAGATGTACGGGATGGATCATCCCAAGGACACTTATTTTTGGTCCGGGACATTCGGACTTGAATTGTACCAAATAGGGACGTTTCTAGGACGTTGTGTGCTATTGAGGAATATTCCAGGTACCTATACTAGAGTGCGAAACAATCCCAAAGTTAGCCTGAAGAAACATTTTTTATTGTTATTAAATATTCAGTATACTCCCAAAAAATTTAAGAATATCTACTTCCCCACGATAATAGTAAGAATAATTGACGTGAAAATGATACATTTATCACCAAACTCATCTAATCATCAATGTGTAATTAGTAATCGGAATTGTGTGTTCAACATAGCGACGGCAAAGTTGAATATTTTGATTTTATTTCCCAATCACTTGTGCGGTGTCGAAATATCTGACATGTGAAACATTGATATTCGTTTCAGCGACACATTAAATGATATATATATATATCTCAAAATTATATAAAGATATCTATTTCTCCTTGAGCATTGATATTTTATTTCAACCAATTTTGTCCAAAATCCACTGTATGTACATACCTATGCAGAAAAATTCTCGATTAGAAAAAAAAATTTGAAAAACGTGTCATTTGGAAAAAGGGTTGATAGTTGATGACGCTGGCGTTACAATTGAAATAAAAAAAAGATCAGAGCCGCATATATTTCTTATAGTATATCTGATGAGCAATTTTATTTGCCTATTTGTTTTTCAAAATCGAATAGTCGAATAACAGCGCTATTTGGATATTCTTTATTAATATATACAATGATAATTATTCGGCACCTCTGGACTGAGATCATACTGTCGTTCATGCGTAAACAATCAAACATTCGCCTGGCAATGATTTCAATTGAAAATATCCAAATCAATCATAGAGGTGAACTTACATGATTTCTAGTGATCAACTACACACACTACAACTGTAGCACCAAATATGAGCTTTTTCACAGTGTGAAACAAGTTATACCTACTTTACATAATAATAGAGTCGTTGCGTTCCATTTTTGAACCGTACAAAAAATTGTATAATTCGATATTATTATATCTCCACTATTATAGTGCGGTTCATGAGTGATGGATGAATTCATTCAAAAACAGGTGAAAACGTCAATCAATTCTTCTGATTGTACATTCATTAACATACTTATTTTATACATATTACATATTTATTTTATAATGAGATCTATACACTATACTGGGTGTTTCAAAAAAACCTAACTCTCTTGCTAGGGTAGGTAGAACATTGCAAAATAAGTTGGGTTTGCTCTGTGAAAAAATGTCGTAACAGCATCCGTTTTCATGATACAAGGTGTTGGAAAAATTATTTTTTTACACATTTTTCACGATTATTCCGAAACTACTCTGGCAACATTGTGATGAAATTTTGTATGGATGTTTCTTGAAATCAGAAACATCGCATGAATTTGTTTTTATACCTGACTCTCATAGAGGGCGATAGTTACACGGTTCGTACCGAGTAGTTTTGAACATAACTTTTTGAGGTTGAATTTTCCAATCCAAATATGATATGAACTTGAACATCATTCAATTTTACACCAAAAAGGTACTGCTGGTGAAACTCGATACTATGTTCCGTTTTCGGAATATTTCGATTTGAAAATAATGGAGTAGTAATGATGCTGGTATAAAATGAATTTTATTGAGCTCAATTACCTTTTTATTCAGGTTCAAAAACAATGAAATTATTCTTGTGCTGAAGTTATTGATGGAACAAAGAAGCATAAGTAGAAAATTAAGAGATATTTGACTAGAAACATGAAATATTGAATCCGTTAGAGTAAGTGTTCAAAATGTCCTACGTTTCGAGGAATACACGATTATATATTCTATTTTTAAGAATGTATTATTCTTCTGAACAGTTGAGGATCAGCTGTTAGGTCATTTAAGTGATGTTCAATTATGTCTCACAACTCTTGACTAGACTAGACTAGACTACCTAGACTTTCTGCTCAATAGATACAACAAAACTGTGTAATCCATGTTCTTAGTCAAATCTGTTTCGATGTTATTCTTGTGATTCATTGTTGAATCGATGACTTTTGCATCAGAAATGTATTGTTGTTTTGGATTTCCAATAAATAGGTGATAGTTTTTCATAATATATACTCACTCTAATACATAGCTTTATACCAGCACCAGTTACCACTTCATCATTTTCGAATCGAAATATTCCGAAAACGGAACCCAGTATCGAGTTTTACCAAGTGTACCTTTTTGGTGTGAAATTGAATGATGTTCAAGTTCACATCAGATTTGGATTGAAAAATCTAACCTCAAAAAAATTATGTTCAGAACTACTCGGTACGACTCGTGTAACTAGCGCCCTCTATGAGAGTCAGATATAAAAATAAATGCATGCGATGTGTCAGATTCCAAGAAACATCCATACAAAATTTCATCATAATGTTGCCAGTGGTTTCAACATAATCGTAAAAAATGTGTAAAAAAAATATTGTTTCAACACCTTGTATCTTGAAAACGGATGGCGTTACGACATTTTTTTACTGAGCAAACCCAACTTATTTTGCAATGTTCTACCTACCCTAGCAAGGGGGTCAGGTTTTTTTGAAACACCCTGTATAGCAATTAAGTATGTTATCTTCGTACAAATTTTCGTGTGGAGATCAGAATCACACTGATTTCTGCAATCATTGAATTTGTCTTGAAGTGCCGTACCAACTCGATATTTTTTTATTGTATGTTCAGTTCTCCAGATAAAGTTGCTTGTTGATTAGGAAATTTGGTGAAAATCTAATATTTCAGGAACATTCCTTATAAACTAGTATTTTAAAATGTGGTGTTTGTTCCAGTTTTTTATACCTCAGTTGTTTTGCTGGAGACTCCAATTAGCATTTCATTCCAATGCC